CTTAGTATGGGGTTTACTTTGGCCGAAAATGGCTAATTTCGAATGAGTTATTTGAAAGTGTTTACATTCGTTGTAATTCGTTAGTTCTCATTTCAAACAGCTGATTTTTCAACTTGCCTGTTGATTTGATTTTTGGCTTGTGGCCCAAAAAAATGTTGAATGAAGGTTAAATATGCTTTCACACCTTACAATATAAACTTAAAACATATTTTTAACTTCGATTAATTACTTTTTGGGAAGTAGAAGTTCTAAAAATAGGTGCATCGTTTTCAAGAAAATGCAACCACCAAACATTTGTTTACTTTTTTTTGTAAATATGTCAAAAACCGTTTTCTTAAACTGACAAAATGCCATGAAAAGCTTTTATTTAGGGTATGTTCAATGTATTCTTTTGTATTTGGGACATATTTGGAACTCATTCTAACTTCGTTGGAACTCATTTAAACAGAATGAGATCCAATGGATCTTATTTGCGCTTGAAATTTTATATGCAAGAATGAGCCATTCGCTTCTCATTTTCGATTTTTGACCAAAATGAGCCATTTTCGGCCAGTGTAAATGCCGTATAACTCAGTGGATTCAGGTTTAAGTTTCAGTTATAATTAGAATTATATCTATACAAATTGGTTTAATAAGTATTGGGCATTTATCGGTATGTTTACACTATCGCAATTAATTTAACAAATGTGAATCAATAAATATAGTTTTTCATACAAAATCCACATGATTATGGGCTTATGAGTTTCGGTAATTATAAGTAACATATAACATTAAATAATACGGCGTTTACATTGGCCGAAAATGGCTCATTTTGGTCAAAAATCGAAAATGAGTAACGAATGGCTCATTCTTGCATATAAAATTTCAAGCACAAAAATGAGCAATTTTCTCACATTCTGTATGAATGACGTTCGAATGCATTCCACATACGTTCCAAATGCAAAGGAATCCATTGAACATACCCTAAATGAAAATGACAGTTTGAAAAAGCTGTTTTTAACATATTTACAAAAAAAGGTAAACAAATGTTTGGTGGTTGCATTTTCTTGAAAACGATGCACCTCTTTTTAGAACTTTTACTTCCCAAAAAGTAATTAATCGAAGTTAAAAATATGTTTTAAGTTTCTAATGTAAGGTTTGAAGGCATATTTAACCTTCATGCAACATTTTTTTGGCCTGTGCCAACATGCAACTTGAAAAATCAGCTGTTGAAATGAGAACAAATGAAATAGAACGAATGTAAACACTTTCAAATGGCTCATTCAAAATGAGCCATTTTCGGTCAATGTAAACGCCGTATAAGCCTATTACACGATTTGATACTTTCAATATTTTGTAAAGTCGCCTTCAAAACATTTGGTGATTCAAAAAACTTTTTAAGTTGATGTTTTATATTACAAAGGCAACCTTCAATTATATTTTCTTTTAATGTTGGATAACCACGAACAACAACTTCATCTAATTGTTTAGATATTGTAAATAACTTGGGGTGCTTGTATAAATTTAATGTTTCTAACTTTTTTATTAACATGAATTCAGAGAATATATCCTTAAAAGGATTTCTAGAATATAACATTAATTCATTAAATAGTTCCCTTTTTTCATGTTGAATAAATTGGTGAAAAATCTCAAAACCCTTTAATATCGGTTCAATTATATGCTCCACAATAAACGTTTGAAATTCAGGAATGTCTTTTCGATTGAAGTTGATTTTTGAGTGCAATTTTAAAGCAAATCTTAATATATCCATTTCTATTAATTTTTTAATTTGAACGATGTCAATAGTATAGTTACCTGGTGAAATAGACTTCACATTATTTACGATACTGTCATCTTGAATATCCTCTTCTTCATTATTTATTGAATTTTTAGCTAGGCTTTCAAGTTCATTAGTTCTTAAAGTTTTTGGCAATGAAATACAACTTATATCAAGAGGTGAATTGACATCATGTCTTCGAATATGATTCCTAAACTTATACAAATTTTGAAAATGTTTATTACATTTGTCGTAAAGACATATATACTTGTAGGTTGTAGGTACTTTATGAATACTTTTTAAGTGAGTTATTAAATAATGCGACAAGCTAAAAATAGTTTTACAAATAAAGCAAATATGTGTGGATTTTTCTTTAAAACTTTCAAATGGCATGTCTAAGTTTACATAGAATATTTTCAATTTTTGAAATTTTTTCTTTTGAAGGTATTTCGTAAACACACATCTGTAAAAAGATCCACACATATTTGCTTTTAAATGAAAAATCTAAATTAAATACAAAACATATTTTCATAACTAAATCTAATGCACTAAGTACACTTCCTACTTTATACTGAATATTATTTAAATTCACATAAAATTCTTTTAAAGTTTCTGGAGAATTACCAACAACAAAAACCTTCGGCTGAAACGTTAGTCCTTCTCTTAAGGCTAACTCCTTGAGTTCATCCACTTTTTGTTGATAATTATTAATATTAAAAATATGTGTTATCATATCTTCTTGCGCGTCCGTTATAGATGGCTTACTTATTTTACTGATCCGTGGAGGTAAAATAATAGCATGTAGTAAGTTGAAAAAATAAAAGTGCTTGCAATCTAGAAAAATATTCGTTATTTTAAAAAATATCAGATATATAATATTACTCCATACTTATATCACTTGCTACTTTCATTTTTTCAAAATATTGCTGATTTAGTTTATCTTTTATAGACGACGGAAAAAATAGTTTAGTCACTTTCTGCACCAAGTCCTCTATTTTTTCAAACATTATCATTTCTTTGCCAGGATAGAGGGTTGAAAAGTCAATATCAATTAACTCGTGACCATTACAATCGCCGTATCTCGCCCATTGATCAAGAAACTGCTGTATTGATTCTTTATGCTCCTTCATTCGTTTAACTGAAGTCTCCTTCCACGGAGTCATTATATCATTTGGTGTGTTCCAATAAAGCCATTTTTTTCTCTTCTCAAATTCAACATCACCATTTTCTGCAGAAATTTCAGCTTCAACATTAATTTTGATTTTCTTGACATGATCATCGGGTAGAGTTTTTCGCTTATACAAACAGTTGCAATATCTATCATATAATTTACCAGATGGGTTTTTTTTACTGGTACGTGGAACGAAATATGTCAATGCATTTTCTGTTGGAAACAAGTATGTAATAGACTGAGCAATTTTTATCATTACTTTTGGATCCATTTTTATAGTATTTAATATAAAATGGTCAGCTATTATTTTGACAATAGCATTTTGATCAGTATCACTTAAATATTTTGTAGTGTTATATTTTTCAATAATATCTTTACCGGCCACAGTGTTAATAAGAATACTTTTTATATCTATATTAGATTGGATAACTGGAACATTACAGCTTTCATTAATTATATTTAATGGTAGCGTTTTTCTGTTATTATATTGAGATTCTTGAAAATTTGGGCAACAAATGATTGGATCAAGCTGAAATACTAATATATTATATTGTACGAAATTATAAAAATAACTTACATTATTTTCGAAACGCCACAGTGAAAGTCCGTGTCTAAACCTTATTTTATCAACCAATAGTTGTTCGTCATTAAAAATTTCATCGATATCATGAGAATGCATCATTTTAAAAATATCGATACTAATTATTTTTAAATTCACAAGTCTACATATAGCACCAGACGATAGCTCCCATTTTTCAAATAATAATGATATTTCAGGGCTTACTTCCAAAATATCAATATTTTCGGAAAACAAGCATTCATTCGAATAAGAGTTATTCATGTTTATTTTTTAATTTTGTGATAATTTGATAAAATAAAGTATTATATTCGAAACACATAATATTAAAAGTTCTACATATACAAATAGCTTTACAAATATTATAAATATGTTTTTAATCAAGCAAACAAAAAGAAATTTGTATGCAATATATGTATTGATGTACATTAACTAAACGTGTGCCGACATGCACGGCTATGACGCCAGTTTGCAGAAAATTTTTTAGCAACTTGTAAATTTTCTATTGCACGACACTTAACATTATTTATATTTATTATATATTATTTATATTATATTTTTATTTAATATATTTTTTATTCAAATTAACAAACGTGTGAATTTAATAACATTTTAACGCGTACATTGTATATACTGATCGCAAAATTGTTCACAACTTGAATGATGCACGCAAAATAATTTTCTGTTCCTTTTGTTTCTTTCACTGACTCTACATCAGAGAGATTGTAAAGGCTGAAATTCCATACAACAATTTCAACCATACATATACTTAAATACAAATCTGACGTCAGACCGTCAGCATAAAAACCAACACCAGCACTCACCCACCAAAATATAACATCGTAAATACCTGAAAAATAAGAAATATATTAATATATATTTGGTCACTTAAGTGTACAGACATTACCTGTGAGCCACTAGCCAGATGAACCGCGGGCATTGATCCGTAAACCGCACAAACCTAAAGAAGAAGCAATAAACAAAAAGTGAATTTTATGAATGAATTTGGAATTTTTTACATATTTTAATTTAAAACATACATTGAACATTTACTAAACAATAAACAACACATTTATTTGATAAACATAAATCTTTTGCACTATTATTTAATAAACCTTTGATAATAGGAAAAAAATAAACAAATATATAGAATCAACCAACAACACTCGCTGGTTACGTTTTTTTTTACGATAAACAAAAAAACATATCACAAGCAATACTTCTGATTTTTGGTTTATGTTATTTTTATTTTACACAAAAGAAATAAAAAAGACAAAATCACTGCGTTACTAAATTATATTTTTTATATAAACATAAACAAACCACCGACGGAGGAAACAAACTACAAGTCCCAATTACACCAGCACTAATTTTATGCAGTAGCATTAAAATTCTATTTACCACATGTATTAAAACACTCACTTATATTTTGACACGTATTATATTTATTTTAATTATAAATATATTTTTATAGTATTTTATATATTTTGTTTTTAAAAAAAAAATATATAAACACGAAGTAGCCAAAATGTAATCGCGGCGAAAACAAAGGAAGGCGAAGAAAAGTGCGCAAAAATGCAAATAACACGAAGAACACGACAATACACAAAATACACAAGAAAGACACGAAAAGCACAAAAAGTCAACACGAACAACGAAGTTTACCGGTACGCTACACCAAAAAGCTCCGGTCAAATCAGTATATAAGAACGCGAATTTCACAAAGCAAACAACTTGCGTCTTGGAGAGCAAACGATAAACAAGTTCAACTGGTCAATTCGATCAAATCAGGAAATCTTAGTTCACAGGCTTAATCAGCCTAATCTGGTCAAGTTCGATCAAATCAGGAAAATCTTAGTTCACAGGCTTAATCAGCCTCTGGTCAAATTCGATCAAATCAGGAAATCTTAGTTCACAGGCTTAATCAGCCTAATCTGGTCAAGTTCGATCAAATCAGGAAAATCTTAGTTCACAGGCTTAATCAGCCTAATCTGGTCAATTCGATCAAATCAGGATAATCTTAGTTCACAGGCTTAATCAGCCTAATCTGGTCAATTCGATCAAAGTAGGAAACTAATTTTCATTTAATTTTCTCTTTGATCATTTAGCCAAATTATTACATCCCTTAGTACGAAGGCAGGAGTCTTCATAACAAACAAGCCAGAGCCAGTCGCCGAAACATCGTCATCTTCGACAGCAACTGATCCTATGTATAATTCATATACTGAGGTGACATAAGTCCACCCCTACAGAATAGTCACGCGCGGAAATCATAAAATTCTCCGATCCTTGGAAAATAATATTTTGTTTATCTGAATTGTAACCATTATAATTTAATAATATAATTCTTATAATATATACATAATAATATTTTGTTTATCTAAAATTATACCCATTATAATTGTTTTGTTTTTTTTTTTTTTGAATAATTAAATAAAGTATTAATAAAATATATAAAATCTACGCTTTTATTTTGGTTCCTAAAGAAACTAGTCCCGAAGATATAAATTTTATTATAACGAACCTGGACAACCGCTTTGCATACCTCAGCAAATATAACGAACGAAAAAAGGTCGTTACAATTGGCGCCCGAGCAGGGACTGAGTTTCAAAAGGACTGAGTTTCAAAAGGACCGAGTTTCAAAAGGGCTAAGTTTCAAAAGGGACTGAGTTTCAGAGGGACTGTAACATTTATCGCAAAAATACCAGGACAAAACCACATTGGTAAATATTAAACTCGATTATCGAAAGGAAATCAATTATGTCTATAGAGCATAAAACAAGGGTCGACATTGGCGACCAAGAACTTCGAAGACCTACCACGCCGAGTAAATCCTGGTTGTACAACTTACGGAAAGATGAATTAATCCACTACTTGTCCGAAATGCAACTAGAAACGAGTGGATCCGT